TTTATTTCAGCTAATTTTGTTTGCATGCCTGCATAAAACAAAACACTAAAGAAGGGCAAGCCTTCCTTTCATCACAGCTATGTGAGAACAAAATGTAAAAAAGAAAAAGTGGCTTCTGGACAAAGGTCAGTTCTGTAATGGTTTCTGTTAGTGACCGTCTCCCAGCTCCCAAGTGAGGCCATAATATTTTGTCTAAAGCCTGAAATATTGATTTAATACAGCATTCAAGCTTCTTCACAGAAATTCAAGATATAATGGTAATGAAATAATAACACAACCTTACATCTGAAGTGCTTCTTTCAATTTGCAAAGGGTTTTCACATACATTATCTAATTTGCTCCTCACAAGAGCTTTATGGGAGGCAACTGCAATGTGACATGACAGCTGACATGTTTTACCTTTAAAAACCATTATGGTGAGAGTTCTATAATTCATGACCAGAAAACTGGAGTATAAAAATGTAGCCTAGAATGGTGTCCCCTTCTACCCATTTCTAAATTGAGGGAGACTTATCTGACAATGTTTTCAGATGCATAGTTAAGTTTATACCGAAATGGTCAGAAAAGCTGGAGTAGCAAAACTTTCTGCTCCTGATAAAATCATTTTGTAACCTATCTAATCTGATTAGCCATTAAGGGTTTCTTCATGAATAAGAAAAATTAAAACACAATTTGTCAGGAGAATGAGAGGAACCACTTAATGTATTTTCATCTGAGCAAAGTGTTTCATAAGAATTCTAGTGATAGTGGAGCTGAGAAGCCACATACAGGATCACGAGGTAACCCAGAGATTAGCAGAAGTGACTATCCCCCAGGCTGGACAAAGGGAGATGGCATTGTGACATAAGCCCAGGGGCTGAGACACCTGGCCAAAGCCAGAAGCGTTAAGAAACTGCAGCTAAAGAGACACAAGATGGTGTCCAAAGCAGAACGAACAGGGGAGAAATATCCTGGGATTCTGCCCACCTCCAATCTCTCCCCAGTGCCTCCTAGTGGCCAATCACTCCCAGTCAGAAGCACAGGAACCTGCATCAGCCTTCAGTGACACAGGGGAAAAGGGTGCAGAATGGACCATGTGCCAAACAGGCCCAGGACATGCATACAAACTGAAAAGATTTTTGAGTGAGGAAATGTTTATTATTTAAATCTAACAAGCTACAGGCTGTGGAATAAATACCAGTGTTCCAAAGATTCAAAGCAAATACTGACCTATCTTACAATGATATAGCTAGAATTTTTAAAAAAATAAATAGGACCACAATCCAAAATTTAAACTATGTTTCATAGTCCTCAAAATGGCTTAAGGACTATGATACCTTAATATTTTCCCCACCTGCTCCACAGCAACCTAGTGGTTACTTGCTTTTTATACACACCAAATATCAACACTTTTTTTTTCATTAATTGAAGGTGAATGACTTAAGTGCGGATGACAGTTTAATTTTTTTTTTTAATTGTTTTAAAAACATTTATTTATTTATTTTAGTGGGGGACAGAAGGAGAGGGAGAGAGAATCTCAAGCAGACACCCTGCTGAGCGCAGAGCCCAATCTTATAACCTGGGCCAAAATCAAGAGTCAGATGATTAACTGACTGAGCCAACCAGACACCCCTGACAGTTTTATTCTTCTTAACCTTAAAGCATTTAGAGGACATTGAGGGCTGGAGCCATTGTGAGGATTTCTATCATATTAAAATTCCAATTATCCCATAGTTGTGGAAACTAAATCTTTCAGAAACTACAATTTCGGAATTGCTCATCAAGCCCATCCTGCGAATGGATACAGATGGAAGATAACACATTATTTAAAAAAAAAAAAAAAAAGGAAGGTAATATTGGGCAGGGAGAAAATCTGGATAAGCTTTTATGCCAAGAAACTTCATGCATTCATCAAACTTTTTTACACTCAATAATTGGGGGGTAGCTAAACAAACTCCTCTGAAGGCTAGAGCCTTTTCTAATGGCACTGCATTTCAGGGCTGGGGAGCCTCCCTCCTTCTTTATTGCCTCCTGCTTATTTGAATAAATAATTCTACACACTCACCCACTCTGGCTTTTGTTTTCTTTCCCTTAAATCTTGTTTCTCCTTGCCTTCTCTTTTCCTTATGCAAACCACATTCTGTGCTACAACTGGTAGCTTTTATCTTCTTCTCTTTCTCCCCCCAACCCCACTTGGCAATTTGTGAATACCCACTCCTCTGGAGGAAACTTCCTGAATTCACATGAACATCAAGAACATTATTCTTGAAAGGATCCTGATGCACCTGGCCGTCCTCTGCTGCTGCAGTTTGCAGGGCTGGGTGTTCCTGTGGCTGTGATCTTCCTTCTTGCTCAGAGGGGGAGACAACTCAAACCGTTCTGTGGCTTGGGCCTCACGTCATCCACATATTCACCCACTTGCGTCTTTACATTGTCTTCTAAAAGACTCCGGGCACCTCCTGGCTACCGTTGATCCCCTCATTATGTAGATACTCCAGTCATCTTTTGGTTTCTTCCTCTAATGTCAGGATATCATCTTCCTCACTGGTTGGCCCTGCAGATACAGTCTAGCAGAGCTGATAACTCAACTTGACAATGCATCACTCTGCTCATAAGGAAAGCCGTACCACTGACTTTATCTTCATTAGTCACAGACCTATGTCCAAAATCTGTTAGCTGTGTATACCTATACTTTATCCTTGTCCTGTCTTTATTCACGGTAAGACCATATGTCTGTCAAGGGTTAAAACGAACTTTAAAATTGTTCTCCTGCTAATGTCCAGACACATTACGGTCTCTTTTAGACAGCATAAAATTGATCAGGACAGAAAGATTCTTTTCCTAGATGTGCTATGTACTTGCTCTGTAACCTTGAATAAATGACTTTACTTCAAGGATTATAACAACTTATCCATTGCACTGAGGTGTTGTGAAGATTAATTGACTCATGTTTTTAAGGTGATTTGAGGATCTGCTAATGAAAGATGCTATATAAATGATAATTTTTATTATTCATTCCCACATCTATATATTCTCTTTCAGCTGTCTCCTAAAATGGTCACCATAAGCAATTACTATTAAATTCTTTTAAAGAATGAAAACGAGGAACTGAATTTTCATTCTGAATCCTGAATTTTCTTTCCTTTTCAAGATGTAAGCCTTGTGATCTCTAAGTCATTTAAATGCAGATCTTTTGGCTGAATCACAGTTATATATGATGCTTATACTTAATAATAAGGATATGGAGATTTGGAAAAATTACAAACTGAACAGAGCAACACTTGGAAATTTAGTCTATTGTTCAAGCACACACAACCTGTATAATATCAAACCCCCGAGAGGTTTTTAGGCTTTTAGATGTAAAGCATTTTTATAATAAAGCAAGATATTTTAATGCAATTCCATTCCAGCCCCTTTAGCACATTTTAAAGAGCTGTTCTATAGAGAGGACTCATATGGTCATTATGATTTTCAAGTAGTACATCAGAATTATGATTACTTAGGATGTTATATTATTATATGCACACTCACTGAAAATCCTTTTGAAACTTTTGTGATTTTGCATAAATATTATGTAGCTGTGCTTATGTGGTCATACAAAGGTGACCTGCTAGTCTCTGGGATTCACAAGTTAGAAACAGAGAAATAGTAGCTTGTCTGCTAATTCAGAAGGACAGAACACACTTGTCCAGTGGTAGTGGGAGCTCCTGCCCCTACATGTAACTTGGCCTCACTGCCCCTATGCTTTTGGTTCTGAGGGATGATTCTTCTCAGAAAACCTACTCTGTTAAGACTGATCTAGAACCTGGGGATTTATTCTAGATCCCATCCACATCACCACTTTTCCCATCTAGAAGCTCCTTGATCCAGTTGGGAAAAAATCTCAAAATCACACCACTCATCAAGTTGCTCTGGCCTTACAGGATCTCTTTTCCTGTTAACCTAGTAGAAGGAATGGCTTTGTGGGGAGAAGGGAGGGACAACTGCTTCAGTGCACTTTTGAACACAAGAACATAAGATGATCAGCAATATTTCTGATGGAAAGGGTAAGCAACCAGTTATAGTGTCTTTCTCTAAGTAGTGTCTTATGAAATGACCGATCATATTAAAACAACTGGCCATACATGCAAAAGAGTGCATGTATTGCACTGTATACTAAACATACATAATATATCAGCAGTAGGTTTATAGCAAAATTTCAAGGTACTAGATATAAAAGTCACAGACAAAACAGTAACATGATGTATGTTGATAAAAAAAAAAGACACATTCCTTAGGTCTTCCTTGATTAATTATAATGTGAATGATATTGATAACGGTTGACTACTCTGTATTTCATTTTATAAATAGAAAAGAAGCTGAGGGGAATTTGTTTTTATAGAAAAGCCATGTGGTCGGACCTCGGAGTCTTGACTCTTAATCTGATTAATGTGCATTCCTCCTGAGAGCTCACAATTTAAGACAAAAAATTTTAGTGGTCATCATTCTACAAGAGCTGACAGCAAAACACTTACTCTGAAAGATATCGATCTAACATAAAAATAGAGTTTATAATCAGTGTAATGGAAGACTCCACAGAAACATTCCAATTTTGGTATTTTTAATGGATGCCCTCACACAGAAAATCCAGATTTTGGTTTAAGTTTGTAATGCCATCCAGGAACTACTTTGACCACCAAAAGGATCTCTGGTAACCTGAGAAACATCAAGAGGATCTTCTATTTTTTCCTTTATGAGTGCTGTACTTGATTCCCATTATGAAAGAATTACGATTGATATCCTTTTAAATATAGAGGACTCCCTTTTCAAAACATGGTCTTGAGAAAGAGCATTCTGATGTACTACTGGAAAAAAAAAAAAAGTATGTCTAGAATCTTAATACCAACGTGCCAAAAATTTGTGTATGATACATAACTGCAAAAGGTAATGTGAGTCTTCTCCTTCAATCCAGTGTCGTATGAATCAATTTCTCAAATATCAAATATCTCAAATATCAAGGAAAGGTTTATTCTATTGCTTACCTCTAATGAACTCATTGATATCGTTGATCCAGTTTCACTCCTTGATAGTCCTGCATTATCATCCAACTCAGAGGCCATGAAATTCTTCACAGCTGTGCGAGGCTCAAAGGGCAAATTCTGCATATGTTCCTGGGGTGCAAGGTGTTGATCTAAGTTCATACTAAACTGGTCCATTACAGGGGGATTCATGTTGAATTCGGGATTCACTTTGTAGTGCAATAACCTTTCATGTGGTAAGGTTTCCATACCAATATTCATTTTGCTTTCTTCTTTCATTGATGGCTGTGTATTTACAGAACTTCTGGGCATCACGATATAGTCACTTTCCATCATTCTTTCTTGAGGATGGACCATGTCCATATCAGCTCCTCTCAAATTGTCATCTGTACATAAGTACACAGTTCTTCGCAATTCACTGTTCTCTTTTTTCAAACACTGATTGCCCAGCTCATTCATACTCATGGGCATGTGCATACCCGTAGGTTGCTGGATAATGACTTTGGAAATGACGTTTCCAGGGAGTGTGGAATAGCTTAGCCCTTCAGGGTTTGTTCCCTTTTCTTCTTCGTCATCATTTAGAGAAATCCTAGAGAGCGTTCCTGTTATTGTTGCTGCTCGGCAAGGACCGATATCCTTATGAAGAACTGTAAATTAGGATATAAAAATTCACAAAAGAAAATTAATGCATTTTTATTTTTTCATTACTGTATTCTGCTCTCTATGAAACAAATTCCTTAATCAAATTAAAAAAATAATATTTAAAAAATTATATATCTATTGTTTGTAGATGGTCCAGATTACTCAATCACTCTTTATTGATTCTGATATGCTTTCATAGATCTCAGGCAGTCCATAGCTAAAACACATCTGAAAGTTGATTAATGAACTTTCAAAAATCTCCATACCTTATTCTTAAACAACTCTGCATAGCTTTTCAGGGAAAGGCAGATACCAGAGAAGTTTCTCCATCAGTCTGTTGCAAAGAGTTTTATGAAATCATGGATATATTCACATGAATTTGACTTTTTCTCAAAGGCTTTTCCCCTAAAGAATTCTACAAGTTCTCTTCATTAAAATACTTCTTGAAAGAGGTAATCAAGGAGAATTTCATCATACTGCATTAGAAATTCCTTCAAAATTATGCATGTTGAAAATTAATGAACATTTATCTATGAAGTCCATATGGTCAAGGTACATACAGGGTTCAAAAGTATTTATCATCTTCAGTTCCATGTGGGGTAAAGAAGAATTTTTTTACAAGATCAATCCATATGCTCGAATGCCCCTGAGGTGGGGTGGGGCGGGGGGGGTGGTGTTAAAGTTGCCACTGACTTGAAGCAGGAAAAAACCATATGAGCCTCTGAAAACTCAGTTTAATTTTAAGCCTGAAAAATAATGACTTAGAAAAATTAAAAATTCATGAGGACTTGTAGTAAGAGAAGGGGAAAAATGAAAACATAAACCAAACAAACACAAACCAACAAAAGAATTCAGAATTTTTAATTAAAATGTATTCTAGCATTTTTCTTCTGTCTCTATGTAAGAAGAAAGCCGTATCTTATGGGTAATAGTAGCAGAATGACTTGAGGCATGCTTAGTTGTAAAAAGATGTCAGTTTTGAGGTAGGAAAGAATGAAATTCTGAAAAAATATTCTTGGTAAGTTTGGTATTGAAAACACACAGAAGAGCACTCTGTGTAAGTTGGTTCAACGTGCCGTGCCCACTTGATGCTGCTCTACCCACAAAGCAGAGCAATTGTCGCCGAAAATTTCATTAGGCAGAGATGACTATAAAATATTTGATTCATTGTTTCCTCATGAAAGTGTCAGATATATTGAACTTCACCCATTTTTAACCAATTTTCAAAGAGCATCATAATGATTACTCATTAAAGCAGAGGTTAAAAACCAGAAGATTATGTCTTCCCTGACTACAAAGAGAAGCCTTAAAAATTATTTCAAAACATGCATCATTCAAAAAAAAATATGCATTATTCATGTAATATCTTTTATCTTTAGAGATGCGATATTTAATTATTGTATTAGGTCTCTTTATTTGAGACACTAAAAATCATGTTAAACCTATATCTACATTTTTTTTTTATTAATCCACAATTTGGTTGTAAGTTTTTGTATTTATTATATAAAAATGGGCTAATTCAGTTTTAAAAACTTATTTCCCAACCTCAAATCAGTAATGAATTGTGGTTGCCAGGAAAAATTTACGTAAAAACATTAAGGGGCAAAGTATGTTAAATTAATAGACTTGGTAACATTTTAAATAAAATACTTTAAAAAATCTCCAAATTCAGGGAAGAACAGTTTCAATCTTTAACTGCATGCAAAAACTAATCCAAAATTTATAGCCGTACAATTTAAAGGCAAGTTATGGGAACAGGTCATATTACATTAAGGACATATATAATTTTATACTTTTATGAATATATTAGAAAATATAAAGGAAATTTTGGTACTGAATATTGATTTTATAATCTGTACTTGTGCAAGATACATTTAGTTTTGTATCAGTTAATATGATTTGTAGTTATAGTTACCATATTTTTACGACATGACACAGCTGTCTTTACTGAAAAATTGTGTATCTTAACTATTTGGGGAAAGACAGTTCTTCTTATGAAGTAGTGTCTCCTCCATATGAGAGATATTTTTGCCTCTCAGACTTGCTTAAAATGGATATCCAAATTTTGAATGGAAACGTAAACACATGCATACCACCTACACAGCACAAACATGATGTTGAAGTGATGGGGCTTTTATGAGAAATTAAGTTGTAAAAGGCAAAACACAAACACACACAGCAAAACAAAAAGCACCTAAATATTTTGCATAATCGGATATATATTCCACCCTTTGGGAAAGTGAATTTCAACAAAACTTAGAGAAAGATTACTCGGAGCCCATGAATTGAAACTTTAAAACTGAACTGGACAGATACCTCTAGGAAAAACTCAAGGCAAGTTCCTGATGAGCTCAGTTAAAAAGGGCACAGACAAAAAATGAAAAAAATTACAAAAATATTTTCCAACAAAATAACGGTTCTGGGCTGTATTAGGAATACTAAATCCCAGAATGCAACAAAGTCTGGGGAAAGGGGGTAATTTAACAAGGGAGCAGGATGAGTACTGATGGATGAGACCATGGCTTGGGTAGGATAATCTAATACGGCGGTTCTCCAACATCAGCATGCATCAGAGTACCTAGACAGCTTGTGAGAACACTGGTAACTGTACCCCACCCCACAGTAGATCTGGGGTAGGGCCTGAAAGTTTGCACTTCGAACAAGTTCCCTGCTGCTCTGGACAAAACTACTTTGTTCCTCTTTCAACGATAACTGTAAAGAGTACGCCAAAAAAGGCTGAAAGGAAACTAAACTAAATGTAGGAAAATAGGAATTAAATGAATGCCTAGTTATTTTAAAGAAACTCAGGCTTCTGGACCCCAGACAGATCACATCCATCTTGGAACACAGATGTAGAACCTGGCACCATGGCTAGTGATCTTTGAGAAATTATGGAAAGCAGATAGAGCAAGGGAAAATGTTTGATCAGTTGTCCAAAAACAGAAATGGTAGACTTTGGAAACCAAACACTACTGAGGCTGTTTCTTAGCAATATTTTGTTAGATATTAAACAAGAAAGAGTGATTCCTAATCCCCTACCCCAGGCCCACTGTGGGTGGGTTGCCAAGTTATGATAGTTATTCTACTGCTCTGCTATGAGTATTTTCACTGAATTCAGAAATGAGAATATGAACTTAGTCTCTCATATTCTTGTGATTATGACAACTCTGTAATCTCACAACCTGCAAAGATGTTTAATGGTCATGAGTTGATTCTGAAAAGTATATATACTTAAAGGGAGTCCATGTGGGGTGGGTGGGAGGTGTCCTACTGAACACAGCAGGGTTCTATCCTCATTCTCTTCCCATCCAATTCCTTGACTGACAGTTTGAATGAATATTTAGAAGGTATTCTCATCAATCTTTCAATGGCCAAAAAATTTCAAATGGATAGAAGGCTAACCTGAAACTAGCAAAATCACAAAGAGAGATAAATGCAAGGCCAGATTTTTCTTCAAGGAAAAAACCTAGAGCCTTTACCTAATCCTCTACTGGTAAAGTCCTGACAACTACTACAAGAGGTCTTAGGGATTTTAGATGACAACAAGTTGACAGCTAGTAGTAATGTACCAGTTGCTATGAAATGAAATGCAAATGTAGATAACATTAATATAAGTAAAGTGCCGACTGTGAGAAATGCTGAATAAGTGTGTACGTTCGGGCAATATAATTTAAAAACTCTTGACAGACTGGAGGCTATGTGGGCACCGTGCCTGCCGGGGAGGATGTTATGAGGAATGAATGAGGAACCATGGTTAGTTTAGCCTGGAGAAAAAGGGCTTGGACTGGACTAATAGGATTTGCTTCCAAACATCTGGATATTTAGATGAAGTAGACAGCCACTCTTATTTTAGAAGGCAGCACTAAAGTCAATGAATATAAGGTAAAATAAGGTATATTATATATCCCCAATATAAAGAAACATTTGCAACAACTGGAATTATCCAAAAAATGAAACATGTAGTTTCCTTTGAAACTCCTGAGTCATCTACTCCTGGTGAGAGTTCAGCCCCAGGCTGAGGATACCCACTGGGGACACCGTCCGTGGGACCCTAGCTCTCTAATGCAGAGAGCACCGCACGGTTTCTTCTGGGCCCCACTAAGCACGTAGCAACAGCAGCAACTATGATACACACTGTGTTTCATCCTTGCAACAACCCATATTCCACAAATGATGGAAGTGAGGCACAAAGAGGCCAAACTGGCCTTAGACCTGACAACCAGGAAGCAGTGGAATGGAAGTCTTAGGTCTCGTAGTCCATGCTTTTCTGTTGTCACTGTGCTTCTTATGAACCATTCTTAGTTTCTCTGTCAATCCTCATTCTCCCTTCACCCCCCGCCCTCCCCCTCCACCACATTTTGCTATTACAGTGCTTCCCTTTGAAATATTCTATTTATTCATCCACATGAATATGTGATGTGTAAGCTGTGGCATTTTCATTAAAATCAAAATCATAAAAGTGATTTCACTTCCCTAATGATATTTTCAAAATCCAAATATTCTTACCTGATCGACAAGCAATGTCTACATCCTTTTCAAAGTCTGTCTGTAACAACAAATAATAAGGTACAGAATCATCATTTAATGAAGACCTCGAGTGACTTTCACTAACTAGATTAAAGTTTACAGATATCTGACTAGGCAGTACTAGATTATTGTTTTGTGCAAAAGAAGTTTCTTGAGGAGTAATCAAATTATTTTCAAGCCTATTTCTTAGAGACCAAATGTTGAATTAAAGCAGTGGAAAAGTGGCATACAATTTTAATAAAGCAATACAATACCCACTGTCATCTTCAGTCAGGAGACTGACACCATATATAAAAGAATAGAGTTTCAAGGCAATTCCTTAAACCACACTAAAAAAGAATGTGCATTATTATGAACATACTTAAATGTCTCTGTTATTTGTATTTTTATTCACTTTGAATATATTGTTTATAAGGTAGTATAATGTAGTATTTTATAATACAGGTTTGTCAAACCCTTAACAGTCAGACCAGGCTCTTCAAATGATCCATTTTCATTCAAACTGACAAAAGCCTTTTAGATCTAGGAATTATAATCGAAGATTAAACAATACTAATCTGGTCTACAACCTGCTAGAGTTCACTTTCATCCCCATACTTTTAAACAGATCAGTTAATTTTTTTAAGTGGAAAAATTAAATTAGCCCATCTTAATCAAGTTCTTCCAGTCATATACTGGATGATATTATTTAGAATTTTTAAAATTTATTCTAATGTTTTAAATTAGAAATTTCAGTATTCATCTGTTTTTTTTTAATTTTTTTTTAAAGATTTATTTACCTGACAGAGACACAGCGAGAGAGGGAACACAAGCAGGGGGAATGGGAGAGGGAGAAGCAGGCTTCCCACTGAGCAGGGAGCCCAATATGGGGCTCGATCCCAGGACCCCGGGACCACGATCTGAGCCGAAGGCAGACGCCTAACGACGGAGCCACCCAGGCACCCCTCATCTGTTTGTTTTAATACAGAATTGATAATTCCTTCTCAAGTCTTAGTTATTAGTATATTGTTTTGACTATTTTATGTTGTCTAATCCAAAAACATTCATAATAAATTGAGTATATGGTAAAAGCAATCTCTATTTAAGTCCCGCTTTCAATGAATCAGTTTAAATCTTATCTCATTTCTAAAAGACACCAAAGTGCTTATGCCTAAAGGACCACTTAATCTCACCAGTCAGAGCTCATGTACAATGACTGAGCTTTTATTGGAATTGTGACCATGCCCTTCTGCCTTAGGGCAGTGGTTCTAATCTTAGGCTGCATATTGGAACCACCAATACCTGGGGTCCCACCCCAGACTTTCCGATTTCACTGGTCTGGAGTGTGGATTCTAATGCACAGATAAGGCTGAGAACCATGCTTTACGACCAGAAGAACAGGTCCATAGTGTTCTGGTCTGTAAACAAACAGGTTCCTGTGGACAAATTGTTATCCCTCATTCTGTGCAGGGGTGAAAATACTCTGGTGTTGCGTAGAAACACACTCAACACACCAGGGGGCCCATAACAGATCTGGGACTCCCAAACAATTCAAACAGAACGGTTATCTGGTAGTTCTAAATCTGTTCATGAACTAAAGCCAAAGTCACTCAAAATGGGACTTGGATACTATTTTAGTAGTAAGAATATTTTGTTTACTCCCATCACAAATCATTACTTAATCAAGGGTCAGAAGGAAAATAAAAGCTCACCATTATTTGAGCATGCCCATTAGGAAAAGAACTTGAAGAATCAGCATTGATCGGATCCTGACAGTTTCTCAATCGGCATCTAAATGCATCCTGAACCTATAGGGGGGAGAAACCCATTAATTTTCTTCTCTCTTGGTAATGACCAGATACTCTCTATATTGGCAATCAACTGAGAAATGATAACTATCATTGTTTTATATCTAATACCCATTTTGCTTACTTCTTAATACATATACCAGTATCCCTGGACTTTATGCCAAGGACATCTATCACTTGCCATAATCTATTGGGGGAAGTGCTGGGAACTCCTCAGTTTTCACCAGGGCTGCGTCTGGCTGAAAAACCAGTAATTCTTGCCAGAGGGCAGATTTATTTTTCACTGTTATAACCAATGTGCATGTCTTTCAAGAGGGATTTCCTATTTGATATGGCATAATTTTCATAATAGCTTTAAACATTGCAAAAATGAGATTACTCAATGATCTTTTGACTGGAATTGATTTGGGATCATTTAGGGACAACTATTTCTTGTCTCCATTCAAGTACCATGTGCCTTGGTGTAAAAACAAAACACAATGAAACAAAAAAGGTAACAAAAACAACTCTTTCTGGTTGTCTTAAAAGAAGAAGAAGAAAAAAAAGATCACTTTGCAAAGCCAAATTTCCTTAATACACATTTACAATTGGATTCTGAGTAAAGAAACATATATCACAAGGAAATGTGAAGAACATTAAATCCTTTATTAAACGAGTAAACATGAATCGATGAATAACAAACACATAAATCAATTGATAGTTATTCTGCTCACATGATGCCTTCCCATTAACATGTCCTTCCCACTTCCTGTGGCTCATTAGGCTCCTAACAAGCTATTGATAGACATTAATACAAGTAGCTTCTTATCCAGTCAATGGCAAGGTCATTTTCGTATTTTGTTGTTTTTGACTTCACAGGATTGATATTCACCATCTAGTTTATTATAATCTGTTTTATTGGATTAAAAAACCAAGCAGAGATGATGTTGCATATCCCCTATTTTACCAAAGCGCCATCACACAGAGGACCAAAGTAAACACGTAATGAATGATCTTTACTTCTGAAAAGCACTCACATGAAATATCCTGTCACTGTTCTGCTGTGCAATGTGTATAGTATACGTATTGGCCGGAAGAAAACTGAGCCTGTTGTTTTCTGCTCCTCTCACCCATGTCCTAAGTCATCACTGTGAGATTTGGGAAGTGACAAAGGGTTTAGTTACCGCCACAGAGTCCTGGCCAACCAGTACAATAAGGAGACCTTTGTCTACTTCCTTTTCTCCACCTCAGGTTAGAATCCTGGTGATGCAGCCACTATGGCTGTGAATTTAGGGAGTGGGGAATGGACTCAGTGCTCTCTGACTTCTTTTCTATCCTCTAATTCTAATATATCTAAATCTGAGATTTACTGGGAAAAAAAGAGTGAGGAGTTGTCTGCTATCAATGAGCAAGGTGATTTCTTCTTTCCTCCTTCAAACACCTCAGTACAAATACAGGCGAAGGGAAATCTAGTCTCATCATCTTTTCCCGAAGAACTGGATACATATTTAGAACTAAATCACCCAGCTTCTCCCTTGAAGGAGACAGGACATGGGAAATGTTAGATTCTTTAAATGCAAATGCTTTCAGGATCCTCCTTTTTAGGTTAAGAAGTAATAGCTTTGGGTGCCTGGGTGGCTCAGTTGGTTAAGCGACTGCCTTCGGCTTGGGTCATGATCCAGGGTCCTGGGATCGAGCCCCTCATCGGGCTCCCTGCTCAGTGGGGAACCTGCTTCTCCCTCTCCCACTCCCCCTGCTTGTGTTCCCTCTCTCTCTCGCTGTGTCTCTGTCAAGTAAATCTTTAAAAAAAAAACAACTGCAGGGGCGCCTGGGTGGCTCAGTCTTTAAGCGTCTGCTTTGGCTCGGGTCATGATCCCAGGGTCCTGGGATCGAGCCCCACATCGGGCTCCCTGCTCGGCGGGAAGCCTGCTTCTCCCTCTC